CGTGCCGTACATTCAGTCAATGCAAACAATTAAGGCGTTTGTCGTTAACTATATTTTGCGACGGATTTGAGTTCACGGATCAGTTTTTCGAGGATATAGACAAACATTTGCCACAAATTAAATGCCTGTTCCTTAGGATCTGTAATATGACTGAAGTATCGGTCGATAGACTCATAAAACTACGGAAACTCCGGAAACTGGTTCTCTATTCACGCCACGAGTTAAGCGATGATTGGTTTTATAGACTTCAAGACAATTGTCCGCAAATAAAGTCCATACGCTTTCAGGCCAGGGATCAAAAGGATAAGAAGTGGATTATCAAATCTAATGTCCCGGAGATTATGGATTACTATGAGATGTCTGTCTATAAGTCGAGCACTAATTATGAGTTTTATTTGTTTAATAATAGGGAAAATGTTTTAATAAGCAAATCGCCGGTTAAAACTTTTATTGATTACAGTGAATAGTATTATGGTTACATATTTTAGTGTAAAATTTTTAATTACAATTTTTAATAATTTTTGTTTTCAATTTTATTCATAAGGTATTAAATAAATGTTACGTTTTAAAATACAGTGTTTTATAATGAACACTTTTATTTGAAATATTAATAAATAAATTGTTTTATGAACATACAATGATAATTTAAAGTATTAGCATATATACTGTATTTATTGTTTATTTTATGTTTGTAATTTACAATACTGATTCATTTGCTAGTTTAATTATGTTTGTCTACTAGTAAACAGGTTGATATCAAATTGTATTTGTAAATGATATAACGGTAATATTGATACAATAATATATATTATTAACATTAAATGATTATGATTATAACTTATGTATTTGTTTAAAAACTAAACTCTTTATACGTCCCATAATATAATGATAACATGTAATAACATATGATAATAATTATAACGTAAGTGTATACAGTATATTTGCCATAACAACAATCATATAACGATAAAATTATATTACAGTATAGACATGTAATATTCTTACAAAGTCAATAAATATTAATATATTTTTAGCTTTTTATTTTATAAAACAACAAATATAAGGTCGTACACGTGAAAATTATTCTGGCAAAACTTTGACAAGTGTTTTGTTATAACACTTAGCCAAAATCGGTAAAAAGTATGTTATATATCTATTTAATGCAGTTCTTTTCCAATTAATTAAAATTTATAAAAAATTTAAAGCCATTAAAATTACGGGACAAACGCAAAGGTCATATGCCCAGGTCAGACCAAAGGTCATAGGTCAAAATAGTTATATACATCTTGAAGAGCAATAAATAAACTTACATTTAAGCTATTGTTCATAAAAATCTAATTGCTTATAGAGCCAAGGTGATATAAAATGTGACAGGATTTCCCATACTAATGACAAAAATTTTGGAAATTATTAAATATTAGTATCTCAATATATGCAACCTATGGTGCAAATAATATATATGAAAAAAATTTAAAATTATTCCAATTAATAAAGGATTTAAATTTACGATTTTTGTGCAATAATGGACAAAATCCAGAATATTCAAACCTCTGCTATTCTGTTATTAACTTTATATTTAATATTTTAGTATAAAGGTTCTTGATACACGCATTGTTATAATTTACAATAAATTGAGTGAAAATGACTACACTTTTGGAAAAGTTTAACATTTGCGATACGATTGACGCGAATATGAAAAGAAAAATCAAATTATTTCACGTTTTCAATGACTCGAGTAATTCAGTGAATATATTGTTTGTCGTAAACAATGACTGTGTCTATGGTTTAGGCGGTAATAACGAGAGTAGTCTGGGTTTTGGTCATCGGATTGAAGTGAAAACACCACAAATAATACCCCAATTGTGTGGCCAACGGATCCAACAGTTTATCAATGGATACGACTTTGTGTTGGCTATGAATGAGTACAACCATGTGTTCAGTTGGTGACACAATGATAGGGGACAGTTGGGTAGGAGTGAGCTCTCGCGTGATGTCTATCTAAAAGCCGACAAAATATTGTATTTCAATGATAAGAATATCACACAAATATGTTGTGGTAATCAACACTCCCTGGCCCTCACCACCGATCGACAGGTATATGGCTGGGGATGTCACATATTTGGGCAAATAGGGTGCGGTGAACCTGAACATAAGGTTATTTAGTTTCAACGCCAGTTACATTAATATTTGAAAACAACTATAATAACTATAAAATTAAAAATATTTTCTGTTTTGATTGAAATTCGTTTGCCATTACTACCGATGGTATGGTATACAGTTGGGGCTATAATAGTAGCTATGAGCTGGGTCATAATTGTAACGATACAATTATGTCTCCCAAAATGATCACAAATTTAACTGATATTGTATAAATCGCCTTAACAAATGCTAAGGAAAGTGTGCTCACTTGTTTTCTAACCAAGGATAATTTAATATATTTTTGCGGCCAATATGTGAATGATAGTTACGAAAAGCAAGCAAAATTAGCACCAATACAAGCTATATATTCGGCAAATGTGCAAAAATTGTGCATGCTACATTCGTATAGTAATAATCCATTGGCAATTTTACGTGCTAGTACTGTTTGCGAAATTATTTCACCATGCAAATACAAGGAATATAAATATGATAATTTTATAGACTTTTATGCCAATCAATATCAAATCAGTTACAACACATTGCATATCGACACAAATATTGTCAACAATACTAGTGAAACAAAATCGATAATAACAAATATATCGAAACCATTATCAAGTCCAGTTTTTAAGGAAGATAAAATTACAGGTTCAATTATAATACTATCTCTCATGATCATTTGTAATGGTTATCATAATAAATTAATGTTATCATTAACTAGGAAATTTTTCGTATGACAATCATTATAAGCGACAATTCATTGAGTTATCGACCATCGGATCGGGAGGTTTTGGAACAGTATTTAATGTAAAGCATAGATTCGATGAACACATATATGCCGTCAAAAGAGTGGAAATGAAACGTAAATACAAAATAAATAAAGGTTTAATAAAATATTAAGTTTGAAAATATCTTCAGTTCACTGAAGAATACTTACAACGAGTTTACGATGAAGTGAGGAATTTAGGAAAACTGAGCTCAAAATATGTGGTCCAGTATTTTGATTCGTGGGTCGAAAGCAAACACCTCTACATTCAGATGGAGTTCTGTTCACAGAATTTAAGGAATATTCTTGAAGTGAAACCACAAGTATTTGGTCGACAATTAAGAGATCCTATGGATTGTGTCGAGTATTTCATTTCGTGTGAAATATTCCGTCAGATCTTAGATAGTG